ATGGTAAAGTATGCATTGAAGCGAGAGAGATAGCAGATTTCTCATTACTTTACAGTAGGATGAAGGTCATATTTAGTAGTATAAAGAGAATACATACTGTATATGTAAAGCAGAAGACTGACTAGTATAGTTTGGCCAAAGCAAACATAAATAAGTGCAGATTTTTATATATAGTGTGAGGGTGGTGGTGATCCATGACTGTGATAAGGTTTAGCTTCATTGTCTTTTTATCTTGTGTGTTTTTTAGTCTGGATGCTAATAAAGGTTTTACAAAATAGCGCTATGGTTGTGCTTTTCTGTTTTTGGTTTCCTTCCGCACTGCCCTATAGCAGAAACACTGCTACTGGCTGGCACGGGTGCACAAAATTACGTATATATATGTAGATTTTGTGCCCCTATTCGCAGCCTCGGCTTAGGAGAGCCATCAAAGCAATGTGCTTACAGTGTAAAGCACACACACAGTAAAACAGTACACAGTTAACCCTTTGATCACCTCACATGTTAACCCCTTCCTGCCCAGTGCCATTAGTACAGTGCCAGCTTTATTAGCACTGATCACTATATTGGTGTCACTGGGGATGTCAGTGGCACCAGGTTAGTTCCCCCCAGTGTCAGAATGCCCGCTGCAATCCCGCAGTCTTGCTATAAGTTACTGATCGCCGCCATTACTAGTAAAAAAAAAAATCCAATATATATATACCTCCATTTGTAAACCCTATAACTTTCACGTAAACTAATTAATTTACATGTATTGGGATTTTTCTTTAGCAAAGACACGTAGCAGAATACATTTTGGCAGAATACATTTTTAAAATGTGTTTACTGGACATGTTTAATAACAAAAAGTCACAAATATTGTTTTTTTTCTCAAAATTGTTGGGGTTTTTTTGTTTATAGCACAAAAAATTAAAAATGCACAGGCGATCAAATATCACCAAATGAAAGCTCTATTTGTGGGAAAAAAAGGTTGTACATTTCATTTGGGTGCAACATTGCATGACTGCACAATTGACATTGTAATGCAGCACCGTATCGCAAAAAATGCCTGGTCAGGAAGGGGAGTAAATCCACTGGAGGGCAAGTGATTAATGTATGACATGTGAGAATGGTGGAAGGAAGATCTGTTTTGTACAAGGGTACAGAGAGGAGTATTGGAGAAGGATTCTTCCTGTGCCACACAGGTGTTTGCATTATTTGTGTTTGGAGTGAATTTGGTGGAGGCACTTTTGGCACAAGAAGAAGACTGAAGAATGTTTATGTAGCACATACAGCACAGTGGTGTGTCTTAATCCAGTCATCAGAGACTTTATTGGGACTTGATATCAGTTCACACTATTTATATATGTTTCTATGCTTTCAAGTTGATGTTATAGGCACAAGTATAATAATTGTTGGCCTACACTAAATTTTGTGAATTATTGGAAGGAGGTGTTGTGAAATCACTTACATGGTGTTTGAGCAGCAACAAATTTAGCAATTTAAAGGTATTGATAGAGGTTGCACTGAAAAACTATATTGTCATGTATGCACTGTTAAAGTTGGAGTAAACTCGTTTTGTTGTTTTTTACCTGTAAGTAAACCTATAATAAAGCCCACAAACCTGGAAGGAAGACTGGGTGCAGATGGATTCCCTGTCAGCGGTGACAGGGTGCTGCTGGGGAACCTGTTTTACAGGTAAGTTTGTCATAATGTACTAGCAGTTTACTATCACTTTAACACAACATAGAGTGGCTGGCACATACACATTTTAGAAATAAACCTGTTTTTTTTTTTCCTTTTAGATACCATTTCCTGCAAGGAATATAGGCAATTATAGTATTAACATGCAATGTGTACCAAAAGTGAAATAGTCACTTTTATACTGAATCCTAACGAACAAGGTTCAAATTTTGGTATATGTCTCTATTTGGGACATTCATCACACTTAATAAAGATGTCCAGATTTAGATTCTGGACACCCTCACTATCTTTCTGTTCTTCTTTATGCAATCAAACCAGAAAATGATTACTCATAGGATACAGTAAAGTGATACACATAACTCCCACACAAAATTAACAACACCTTGCCTATGATGAGTTGTTATTTGCATGAAAATGATCACACTTTGGAAATATGAAAAACAATTAAAAAAATTAGGAATCTTCACAAATACACAGTAAATAAAAACTTCAATATTTATAAGATATCACTTCTGTAAAATTATTTGAGTGTAAGGGAAGAAAACAAAATGTTAAAAGTTTATGGCCAAAGCTGGTCTTGGTGAGTTGTCTTAATAGGACACATACTGTATATCATTCAGAGTTCAACGTTATTAATAATAACACATGAAGACACAAGCTAATTTTACTTTGGCTAATATAACAATGGGAAACCCAATGCCAAAAAACTGCAGATACAGGTATGGCCCCTTTTGCATTATCCATGAAGAAACTGCTTTGCATGTCTTCTGGCAGTGCACAGGACCTGTTGAGGGACCTGAAACATAAACTCAAAGACTTTGAATTGCAAGCAGCCAACACCTACTTTGAAGTGTTGCACAGATTATTTTGTGGTATATTTGCACAAAAGGACATTGATGGCACCTGGCGGGTGATGTGTTGCTTTAAGGATGCTTTGCGATGCACCAGAAAGATCTTCATCCACCACAAGCAAAGCATGTCCATTGGAGATAGTCACAGACTGGTCCACAGTCTGCTCAGAGACGATAACCTTATGGACATCAAGGAGGTAGAGGACTTCTGAGAACATTTTCCTATCCCCCCACTCTACATTATGTGTCTTTGTCTTGCAATAAAGAATTGGGTCTGTGAAATCTTCCACCCTCCCTTATCCCTCCTTTGTGTAATTCATCATGCCCATTGCTTTTTGAAGCATGTTGTACAGTTGGTTTGTTGTTGTGCTGGCTTGTAGGACGTGTGAAGCAGGAGTTCATCTCAGGCACTGCACACCTAACATTGTGCTGCTAGGTTTTTTTGGTGGTACCTTAGGGACCACAAAATGTTTACAGGGTAAAGCAATGTCATGCATGGCATGATGGTTCAGGGAATTTTGCTCCACCCAGCACTTTAGGCATCATACCGCTGAGTGAATATAATTAACTTTGTGATTGGAACTGTATTGTTTTGTGGTGTATTTATGCTCTGCATCACAGTACAGGAGATTATGTTCCCCCCAATTTTTTTTTTTGCATATTTTATATATAAATAAAGTATATTTTTTCAGCAACAGCATAAAAAAGGTAGGACATCCCTATTAAATTACTATGGCAAGATGCACCTCCAATAATAGATATAGGCATTATTGAATATGCAAGGAAGGCAAAATAACGCCATTGTCGTATGTATGGGAGTTTAAGAAGAAATGTTGCTTATGCTGGAGAAGCGAGCCAAAACCCAGCTTTATTTTCTAAGCCAACTACCACACCAGGCTCTCCTCTTTCGGCAAATATTTTTTTATGCCCGGGTGAATTTCTCATTCATTGTTCACTTTAATTTCACTCTCATTTAAATAAGTCCACCTTTTGTAACATGTTACACCCATAATCACAGTTTAACTAGTTAACTGCCGACCGCAGATAGCTGAATGACGGCTGCACTGTGGCCGGCCAGTTCTGGGTGGATGTCATATGACGGCCTCCCAGAACGCGCTCTCCTGCGCGCCCCAGGGGGCGCGCACCCGGCGATCTCCGTGATCGCTGTGTCCTACGGACACAGCTGATCACGTAATGTGGTAAAAGGACGATCACAGCGGCCTTTTACCACGTGATCAGCGGTGTCCAATGACACGCTGATCAGAGGGAAATGCAAGTGCCGGTTCTCGGCTGCACTTTCCTCACGCTGTCAGATCGTGAGGAAAGTACTGCTGAGAACCGGCAGTTGTCAGAGCGGGGATCGGCACCGATCATCAGGGCACTGATGTGATCTATATGACCTATATATCTTCTATAGAGTGTGAGCTCTGTCAGTGACTTCCCACATATTGTTTGTTTCACTACAGGATGGGGACATCATGGTGCTTTGTATAGGAAACAAGATATACCATATATATTTCAACAGGCAGAAGAGTCTTTGGGATGTGTCTTGTTTTTTCCTACAAAAAGTGGTGTATAGTCCACATGTAGTGGTGAAGAAACCATTTCAAGCAGAGTGCTGCTGTGTGCATCTTTTCTTCCATCCTGGAAATAAATGGGGCATATTCCCATCCAAGAGCTCTAGGAAACAGCTATCTATATTACAGATGAATGGGCCCCAACCACTTGTGCCGGCACAGGAATGTATTGTACAATATATTTGACATTTATGTCTTCCTTCATACAGGCCTGAGGCCTGCTACTCTCCTTTTTGACGCATATTTTGCTTGCTCCATTGCATACATGTGATATATATATCTACAGTATAATTTTTTGGATTTCTTGATAGGGATTTGCCATTATGGTTACTGTTTAATCCCTCATATCCTCTATTATGGTATGCCCATGGCATAATTTTTGGATACACCTCCCTAGGGAAGTGTTCACCTGTGTGTTTGTGTTGCAGGGACACTAGACTCATGTAGCCATTTTCCCTGCTACACATACATTTAGACCGGTTTTTGTGTCATTTTAAAATGGTTTTAGGTCTGTGTGTATTGTCTCATACTGAGGTGATGGTAAACCAGGGTGAATGCCCATATGTCATATTCATTTGTGTGTAATAAAGCATAATTTTTGGAAATTATTCCCTTAGTGTCACGTTCTGTTCATTATGTAGCCGCTTTTCTGTGAATCTCTTTTCACAACCCTCCTTTTTTGTATGCCTCTTTTGGCTACTGAATGGAGACCATACATTGGGTGACACGTTAATGTATTTAATAACCTCTTTAATAACTATCTTAGTACACTGATGATCAGTGCCCTGATGATCGGTGCCCAGCAGTGCCACCCACAAGTTCTGCCCACCTGTGCCCAGCAGTGCGCCCACTAGCTCCGCCCACCTGTGCCCAGCAGTTCGCCCACTAGCTCCGCCCACCTGTGCCCAGCAGATCACCCACCTGTGCCCAGCAGTGCACCCACCTGTGCCCAGCAGTGCACCCACCTGTGCCACTCTGCAGTGTCACACACCTGTGCCCAGAAGTGCCACCTACCTGTGCCCAGCAGTGCCACCCACCTGTGCCCACCCACCTGTGCCCACCAGTGCCACCCACCTGTGCCCACCAGTGCCACCCACCTGTGCCCACCCACCAGTGCTGCCCACCAGTGCCATCCACCAGTGCAGCCCAGCAGTGCTGCCAGTCAGTGCCACCAGTCAGTGCCCAGGGGTTGTGCCAGTCAGTGCCGCCAGTCAATGCCCAGCAGTGATGCCAGTCAGTGCCGTCTATCAGTACCCATCATCAGTGTCACCTATCAGTGCCGCCTATCAGTGCTGCATATTAGTGCCGCCTGTCCGTGACACCTCATTAGTGCTGTCTATCAGTGCCGCCTATCCGTGCCACCTCATTAGTACTGCCTATCAGTGCCCTTTAGTGCTGCCTATCAGTGCCCATCAGTGCCGCCTATCAGTGCCCATCAGTGCCGCCTATCAGTGCCCATCAGTGCTGCCTCATCAACGTACATCAGTGAAGGAGAAAAAATACCTGTTTGAAAAATTTTATAATAGAAACAAAGAAACGTTTGTTTTTTTTTCAAATTTTTTGCACTTTTTTTATTTATAGCGCAAAAAGTAAAGTGCCCAGCGGTGACTAAATACCACCAAAAGAAAGCTCTATTTGTGAGAGAAAAAAATGATCAAAATTTCATATGGGTACAATGTTGCATGACCGCGCAATTGTCAATCAACGTGCGGCAGCGCTGAAAGCTGAAAATTGGCCTGGTAAATAAGGGGGTATAAGTGCCTGGTAGGCAAGTGGTTAATATGCAACATATTACTGGTACAGCAACTTCTGCACCCCCCAATCTCCTGTTGTGACAGAGGGCTGGGGATCCTCTCCCACTGTCACAATTTACAAAAAACATGGCTGTGCAGGGCTATGCTTACCCGGCTGCGTCATTAATTCACAGAGATCTATGAATAGGAGAACTACAAGTACTGGCAACCTTTGCGGCTGACAGCTTGAAGTTTTCAACTAACTATCAGGGTGCCTTTAAACACGCTAGGTAGTTCATTGATGCTTCCTGTCATTCAGTAACTGCATGTCGTACAAGGTAAGGGCAGACAGCTATACTGACAGTTGACAAGAGCCCGAGATTGCACCCCTGACCTCCTGATTACGGGTGCAATGCTTTGCAGGCTCCTAGTTAAAAAAATAATAACTTCACATTTTTTACCTGCAAAAAATATTTTTACAAAGGTGAACTTATCCTTTAATTTGTACTTTTGGCAAGTTAAGCTAACTTACAAATTGAACAGTTACCATGGTAAAAGAAATTTACGCACCTTCGTGCTATATTGATTTAAAAGTGTGGATCACCACAACATAGCTAGCATACCTTAATATGCATCATTCAGCTTCATTTTCAGGTTCTTAGATGGGAGGTATCAACACTGGAAGGTCTTGGCAAAATAGCACCAGTCCCATGCAATTTGATAAATGCTGGAAACTGCAATTTATCAAATGTACGTCTTGATGAATTTTCTGCACAGCTGAATTAACTTTAATCTATCAGTTCCTATAAAGCTAGCCATACATGGATCAAAATTAGACTGGTTCAGCAGGGACCAGTTGAAATTTCAATCCATATATGAACAGGCTGATTGTAGTCAAGTCAACCGATCAATCAACTTGGGTACAAACAGCATGTTGGATTTTTCTGCATGTTGTAATTACCACAGGCTATAACCACTAGGAGTAATCATTGCATTTTGCTGGCTGGGAAGGCTCACCACTCACCTCCCCCATCAGAATACAATAGCATTGTGGGTGGGATTCAACTGACTTTTTTCAAAGAAGCTTTGTTGAAAACTGAACAGTGACTGCATCTAATCAGTACTTGGGACTGTCTGAATACAATAGCTGGCAGAGAAGAGTCATCAGATTTATAAACAAAAGAAATATGTAAGTGTATGGTTGTCCTTAGTGTATTTAAGGGGCTATGGAGGGGGCTGGGGGGTTTTACATAATTATTGAACTTATATAACCATCTTTAACATGGGAAAAATCTGCTCTGATCAACATAAAATCCTTAGATAGATCCCTTGCAGAATAAGAGCAGAATGCAGACTGTGGTGGACTTGTGATGGCTGTTTGGGTGGTTGGATGTGTCCATTTACATCAGCCTACCTCTGATTTGTAAGTATTAGGTCCAAAAACGAAAAAACAGAAAAGGACACATTCTTGACCTCCTTTCGTTTGGTGATATTTGATCACCATTTGGTTTTTATTTTTTGCGCTATAAATTAAAAAAATAACAGAAAATAAAAAAAAAAACAATGTATTTTACTTTCTGCTATAAAACATATCAAATGAAAAACAAAACTGGGAAACAAAAACTGGCACATTTCCGCTGACAGGATAGAGGTTTGTGTTGCTTACATTGACAGAGCTCTGCCCTGTTTTCCTCCTCACTGCATTCCTACGGGAATTGGTCAGCAAGCGTTAATTTTGAACCTAGACGTACTCGGGGGTAGACGGATATAAACAACTGACAAAAGTCTATAGACCTGCATGGAACTTTTGATCAGGTCCACCTGAAAAGCTGATGGGCAAACATGATCAAAAAGCTCTTGGGAAATCTATTGGTGAGATCTTTGGGTTTATTTACTAAATCTGGTTCACTCAGAATCTGGTGCACCTGTGCATGGTAGCCAATCAGCTTCTAACCTCAGCTTGTTCAGTTAAGCTTTAGCAATAAAACCTGGGAGCTGATTGGTTTCTATGCAGTGCACAAGATTCTGAGTGAACTAGCTTCAGTAAATAAAAACCTTTGTGTTTAAATAATGGAGTGTCCACAACAAATGTCTACCCACCTCTGCTGGATTTGATATTTGCTTTACATTATGGAGAATTTAACATGAACTAGAGTATGCAATGGTGAGCAGGAACTCCAATTCTCCCCCAAGCACAATAAGTCAGTAATTACAATAGGCAGGCCTCCCTCTTGGGTTATACAAGACACAAGGAGCCAAGGAATGACTCTGTCCTGAGACACCACTTATAACTAGGCAGCACAGTGCCTAAATGGTTAGCACTTCCGCCTGGCAGTACTAGGATCATCAGTTCAATCCCAACCACGGCACCACCTGCCTGGAGTCTGCATGTTCTCCCTGTGCCTGCATGGGTTTACTCCAGTTTCCTCCCACACTCCAAAGACATGCTGGTAGGTTAATTAGCTCCTGTCTAAATTGGCCCTAGTATGTGTATGTATGAATGTAAGCAGGGGCGGACTGACAACTCATGGGGCCCCCGGGCAATAGGGGATCATTGGGCCCCTAAATCCTTGCCCAAAGTCAAAAAAGCCTATGAAACAGGTACTAGGGGCATCTTCTGGGGCCCCTATTGACTCCGGGCCCTCGGGCAGTGCCCGAGTTTCCAAATGGTCAGTCCGCCCCTGAATGTAAGTTAGGGACCTTAGATTGTACACCGCCTGAAGGTTAACCTCCTTGGCGGTATGATTCTTTCCGATTTTTTGTGCTGAAAGCGGTACCATTTTTTTTGCATGGAAATCTGTAGTTTTTTATTGTAGGCTGTAATTTTTAGGAATAACTCACTGAAATCTATCCGAAAAAGAGTCTATTAAACATTCCGGATATGATAAAACTTGAAACACGAAATCATAAATTATAATTTAATAAATAATCATAAAAAATAATAATATAATAATAATACATTTATTTCAATAATATAATCAAACCGAAAACACTGAAATTTGAAATACAGAGGCAAATTCGCACATCGCTGAGCAAAGTCGCAAAATCGTTTTCAGTGTCTGATGACGAATTTCCCCACAAATCATTATCACTCAATTCTGCAAGTGGTTCTGATTTACTATCGCTGTTCTAAAACCGCTTTTGACGTAAAGGGACGCTTTTTGGCCGCCATGGACTTTTCTCAGTTTCCAGGCAGAAAGAACAGTCAAAATGCAGGCAGGGCGCAGGACAAAGCAGTAGGGACAAAATGTATGTGAAATGCAGTGAAAAAGCAATGACAGCAAAAATGTCATTTTTTAAAAATTTCAAATTTCCCACAGGTTCCGCCGCCCGAACGTTCCGACGTCACAGGGACCGGAACACGGAAGCCAGATGCCGGCATCCGCCGGAGGAGATGGGCGGGGACGCTGCAGGGGACCCATTGTGGGAGCGAAGGACAAGGTAAGTGCTGCAGGGACCCCCAGAGAACGCTGCATGGTAAGCCCGAGTGTAGCTCGGGGTTACCGTTCTTGGTATAGAAATTCTACCCCGAGCTACACTCGGGAATACCGCCAAGGAGGTTAAGGACTGATATGAATGTACAATATATATGTAAAGCGCTGCGTAAAGTGACAGCACTATATCAGTACCTATAATAAATAACTAAAATATCACTTCTGGATGGACTTGTGCTTTTACTTATGCATTACATCAATCCAAGCGTTATACAAAAGGCTGCAAAAAGTATGTCATTTAAAAAAAAAATTTTCACACAATAACACTAATATTAAGAAACTGATTTGTTTTGCAACGCTTATTATAAATTCTAATTAGAGGCATCTTACAGCTGTCGTCAGTCTTTATTGGTGATAAGCAAAGCCATACTGATCCCTGACACAATTAGTTTGATATGCAGCAGATTCCGAATATTTAACAAGAGAACGAACATAAAATGTTCCCACACAGTTCATAGACAGTTGGAACAAAGAAGAGATCCCATAGCAACTATACACTTTAAATTTGATGTATCAAGCAGGATCAGGATTACAGTAGAATATCAATATAGCTCCAGTAACACACAACCTGCTTCTGAATAGGTGTTTTCTAATACACTGTTTATACTGACTAAGAAAACTACAGCAGTGTAGTGGCACACTTAGCTAAATGCCATTTAGTTTGCTAAAGCATTGCATAAGCAATTGCTAGCTTTTGAAATAAACCACATATTGTATCATTAATGCATATCAGTGCTGTTAATCTCCTGCGTGCACTTAGCTGTTACTTCATGTCCAGGGGCGGACTGACCATTTGGAAACTCGAGCACTGCCCGAGGGCCCAGGGTCAGTAGGTGGCCCCATGAGATGCCCCTGGTACCTTTTTCATAGGCTTTTTTGAGTTTGGGCAAGGACACAGGGGCCCCATGATCCCCTATTGCCCGGGGGCCCCATGAGTTATCAGTCCGCCCCTGTTCATGTCTACACTCTTACACTCCAGGAATGTTTGGGTGGCATTTCTCAGAGTGGGTTTTCCAATGGTGATAAAAGTGGACCCTGCCTGCATAATGTGTGTTGTCTCTATAAGATGCCTGTGTGAGAAAATAAATGGAAGACAGGGAATGAGCATTGTAAAGCTGGCCATACATTATACAATTTTCTTGTTTAATCTCCTTTAGATTTACCTTTAACTATGTAGTGCAAGGCTGCAAAACGAAACAAAACAAAAAGCGCACCAACCTTGCGCACAGGGGCGGACTGACCATTTGGAAACTAGGGCACTGCCCGAGGGCCTGGGGTCAGTAGGGGGCCCCATGAGATGTCCCTGGTACCTTTTTCATAGGCTTTTTTGAGTTTGGGCAAGGACACAGGGGCCCCATGATCCCCTATTGCCCAGGGGCCCCATGATTTGTCAGTCCGCCCCTGCTTGCGCAATACCTCAGTAAACCAAATTTATTGAATACAGAATGATACTCACAAACAACAAACTAAATCAAGCATGTAAGTCCTCAAAGGAACTTTAGAATTCTGAAGCCTGCGCGAGCGCCATCATAAGGGGTAGACACTCAGAGTGTGGATGACGCGTTTCGAAGGGCGTCCCTTCTTCATCAGAGCACATGTAGTGCAAGGGTCTGCCTGACTCCATGCAAATTGAAGCATTTAGGTTTGACCTCATATTATATGTTTTTTATAAATCTAAAGGAAAATTGTACAAGAAAATTGCATAATGTATGGCCAGCTATGCAGGCCATAGATGGGTTGAACATCGGCTGATTTTTCGAACGATAAATGAAAAATCGGTCGTTCGTTCGGCCGATGTTACCACCAACCACCAAAAAAAATTGTCTGACTAAATCACAAAGTTCACCCCATAACTTCTGTCCCTTGCAGGTCACAGTTCATGCACAGATTTTTTTATCGTTAAAACGATCGTCCAATTTGGCCATCATTGCTGGGAAAATCGTCCAATCGTCCAAATCGGCCGCAAATTTCCCAAAATAACCGATAATCTGAAAGTGCAAAATACCCCGAAAAACGGCCAACGAACTAATCCACTAACGGTACGAAAATCGGCCGATTTTTCTTTCGGCCGAAAAATCGGACGATTAACGACCCATCTATGGCCTGCATTACTCTAAAACAAGCAGTGCTGAACAAGAACCCTTATGGCAGGGACAATTTAAAAATGCCCATACACTATACAATCTGATTGTACAATCTCTCTACAATCTTCATGAGATTTTCCAAAATTATATACTATGAGGACAAACCTATACAATCTATTTATAGTGATTATAAAGGCTTTTTTTTTTTCTTTAAGAAAAAAAATAACAAACATGTCTATACTTACCTGCTGTGTTATTTTACCTCATACTTTCCTGGCCCCTCCCACTTGTTGGATGCCCCACAGCAAGCAGCTTGCTATGGGGGCACCCATTGCTCCCTGTGTCCATTCACACACGAAGCCACAGCTCGGCCCTGCCCCCTCTCTCATATCATTGGCTCACTGGCTGTGATTGACAGCAGTGGGGGCCAATGGCTTCTGTCTCAGCCAATGAGAAGAGGGAATCCTGGGATAGCCGAGACTCCAGTGCAGATCACTGGATTGAAAGGGGGCTTAGGTGAGTATTAGGGGGGCTGCAGCACGCAGAAGGTTTTTTACCTTCATGCATAGAATGCATGAAGATAAAAAACCTTCAGCCTTTAGAACCACTTTAACCTCCCTGACGGTATTCCCGAGTGTAGCTCGGGGTAAAGTTTCAGTACCAAAAGCGGTAACCCCCGAGCTACACTCGGGCTTACCATGCGGCGCTGCATAGGGATCTGTTCTTCACTTACCTTGTCCTGCGTTCCCGCGATGTCCCCCCGGCAATGTAATCCGGCGGATGCCAGCATCTGTCATCTGGGTTCCGTCCCCTGCAAGCGTCGGGACGTACTGGGGACGGAACGGCGGGAAATTTGAAAATGACGAAAAGTGACAGTCACTCAATACACTAAAATCACATAGTAAAACATTACTGTATCAAACCATTTCACATACATTTTGTCTCTAGTGCTTTGTCCTGTGCCCTGCCTGCATTTTACTGTTCTTTCTGCCTGGAAACTGGGAAACGTCCATGGCGTCCAAAAAAGCGTCCCTTTAGCTCAAAAGTGGTTTTAGACCAGCTAGAGAACAGCGATAGTAAATTAGAACTACTTGCAGAATTGAGTGATAATGATTTGTGGGGAAATTAGTCATCAGACACTGAAAACGATTCTGCGACTTTGCTCAGTGATGTGCGAACTTGGCGCTACATTTCAAATTTCAGTGTTTTTGGTTTGATTATATTATTGAATTAAATTTATTATTATTACATTATTATTTTTTATGATTGTTTATTAAATTATAATTTATGATTTCGTGTTTCAAATTTTATCATACCCGGGATGTTTATTGGACTCTTGTTCAGACAGATTTCAGTGAGTTATTCCTAAAAATTACAGGCCTACAATAAAAAAAATACATATTTCCATGCAAAAAAATGTACCGCTTTGAGCACAGAAATATGGACATAATCAGACCGCTAGGGAGGTTAATTAGTATAAAAAAATGCTCTTGTATTACTTGTTGATGGCAGATCTATTAGATCTAAAGGAAAATACGAGATTATACAAGAGGTCTTCAAAAAGTTTCTGCACTCTTTTAAACTCTATTTATTAAGAATTTCAAAAAAAAACGTGACAACTCTTATAATTCTTGCAAGACTGCAAGGCCAGCTGGCTTGCCAGACAGACTAGTCACAAGACAATCTCAGACACAACCAATTACTACTCCTCCCGCCCTCACAATTTCCAACGAAAATATAAAAGTGCAGAAACTTTTTTGAAGGCCCCTTGTATATCGGATGGTCTGCAAGAGTTAAATGTTCAATAATTCTAAGGACCGTTCAGATTGGGTGACTTGGAATCATAGGCAGAATCATCTCAATTCTACCCATGATTTCAAAATGCAGCAAAATGAGCAATGTGCGTTCGGGTGCCATTATTCATAAGGGCACCCCAAATGTGGTGCAATTCTACCATGACTGTCATGTGTCAGGATTGTGTGGTAATCACAGCAAATTGCGCAATTAAGATTTAAGCTAAGCTTGTAGCCCAAAAAGGCAACAAAAGTGCATATGTGCAATACATGAAAAGGCGGTTTCAGAATTGCAAGCAGAAACATTTGTTCCCACAACATTAGACTGAACAGGGCCTGAGGTTTAGTGTGCAGTGCCTATCCATTCCAGCTACAGTGAGCTCCCCTATTTTTGTATTAACTTTATTTGAAGTGAACAAAAGTGACATTTTATTTATGATGCCGATGTACAGTGACATAAAATCTTGTCCAGTGTGCTGCAATGCAATGCAGCATGTCTGCATTTAATTACATATAACTGTACCACACCTCAGAGGGTGAATAAGGTTTAGGAGGGCAGTATTTTCAACCTGAAATCAAAATCAAGAACATGGAACTATATAAACTAACTGGAGGAAAGTTCAAAACTAATCTCAGAAAGTACTATTTTACTGAAAGAGTAGTTGATGCTTGGAATAAACTTTCAGCAGAGGTAGTGAGCCAGTCAGCAGTAAATAGCTTCAAACATGCTTGGGACAATCATAGATCTATACTCAGACAAAAAAGTTTACAAAAAAACAAAGAAAGAAACCCCACCCTCCCAAATAAAAAAAAAAAACCCCAACACCCAAACAGACAAAAAAAAAAACACAAAAAAAAAACACACAAAAAAAAACAGGCAGACTTGATGGGCCACTCGGTCTTGTTCTGCTATCCCTTTTCTTTTTTACTAATGCAGTATGAATAGAACACATACTGTAGAAAACATTTGCTTTCTGTGTGTCCTAGCAGTGACCTGCATTCTTCCAGTGCGATAAAACTTAGGTCACCACACTATGAGTGAAATGGGCCTAAGCGGTAAAAGTAGGTACTACTCACATTTACCCCAGCTCTGGCAGGTACCAGTGTTGTCTTTTTTCCTGACACTCCGGGCTGTGGCTGGATTCTTGGTGTCATCACATGCAATATAGGGCAGTTATCCTTGCATTGTGTGTGGAGGAGGCAGGAGTGCAATTAGGGGCGGACTCACAAATCATGGTGCCCCTGGGCAATAGGGGATCATGGGGCCCCTGTGTCCTTGCCCAAACTCAAAAAAGCCTATGAAAAAGGTACCAGGGGCATCTCATGGGGCCCCCTACTGACCCCGGGCCCTCGGGCATTGCCCGAGCCAAATGGTCAGTCCGCACTGTGCAATTACAGTAAGAGTGTTTAAACCATGCACTAGTACAGGGGTAGGCAACCTGAGTCCAAGTTCACTGCCTCTGCAAGTCATACAGTAAGGTAATCTTTGCAATGCTTCTTAGTTCCAACAACAGCTAGAGAGCCACAGGTTGCCTACCCCTGCACTAGTAGATTAGATTTGCAAGTGAAAATGCATATGAAATTCCCAGTATGTTCGACAGCTTTCCGAATGTTATTCAAAAGTACTTCAACATTTTATTTGCTTTTGAAATTTGATTTTAGAACAAATGGACTTCACCACACCTGCACTGTTGGAAATGTATTCATTTGTGACAAGTTTTCCATTATGCTCCTTTGCATCTCCTTGCCACTATGGTTAAAAATTAAGATTGCTTTTATACCACTAATAATTAGAAACCCAAACAAACATTCTTGATTTTAAAAGTTTCATTTGAAAATCCAGTAGTGTATACCCGGCTTCAAGTCGGACATATACAGGCCCAAATTTGTCTGGTTTGGCAGGGATCATCTGAAATTTTGATCCCTGTGTGGCTGTCCCTTTTTGCTATTTGTTATACCAAATAAATAGTCTAAGCACACTAAATTTTAGGTTGCTGCAAGACCCTATATGTGTTCCCACATAACCTGTAAAATTATATGAAAAGTGAAAAGCCCCCTCCAGAAGTCACGTGGTAATGTGACAACATGCGTTGGACGGAGCTGGGTGACGTTGCTATAGGAAGTGCCCTGGTTGTTTTGCTTGTCACTGCTAAGAGCAGTGTTTGTTTATGTGGATACAGAGCTATTTTACTGTAGTGCACCAGGATAGTGCACAAATGCATGTGAATTTTTACCTTACTTTTAATAGGCAGATTACCATTTTATATGCACAATGAAGTCTTTCTTTTTTTGTTTTTGAGCCATGGAATATTGTTTCCACTGAGGAAGTAGCAAGAGAGGAGGAGTGAAGCCAGTAACCCTTAAAGGGGAAACACACTGTTAGATTTAATCATCTTGTTAGGCCAATATCCTGAGGTGAGGGCCATATGTGAATGGTGGTGGAAATCACTGGAAGAGTTGGACCATGGTAAAACACTTTGATGCATGTTTTTAATTGAAGAATTACATGGTGTGCACTTGACGATGTAAATGGAAGTCTTAAGTATATGGTAAGAGACTGAGATGATATATTAGGCACAAGGCATATTTGGAATGTTATCAGGATCTTGTTGTTACACATTCTACACAGTTTTTTTTTTAAATATATATAATGCATACTTTTTTTGTCAGCAGTCACTGTGTTGAAAGGATGAGCTGGAAAAAATGTGTCGATCAGAGAAAATCCTGCTGTCAGAATACAATGTTCCAGCAGGGGGGAATCCTCCATACACCTTGTTTGTATGGATGAATGAATCTGTTGATTTTATTCTTCCTTCAGCCCAATTTAAAGCTTTAGGGCTCATTCACAAGGGCAGATGCGCACTGCACAGTTTTGTGTACATCTAAATGCAGCACTACAGTATTGCAATCAATGAGCCCATATAAACAACTGCACCTACCTTTGAAAATGTGCACTGCGCTTAGCTGTGCTAAAGAAAAAATAGGGTGCTTCTGTGCCCAGGATTACACAGATCTGCAGATTTTTTTGCACGAAGGCGCATAAACACACCTGAACACGTTCAAGTGTAAACGCGTAGCCCACACATCTGAATGTATCTAAGCACAAGTACTTTAAATGCACATTTTCTACAGGAACCTTATCAGCTCTGCCAGCAAAAACCTGCATTCATGCAGGGAATTTGCATATGCCCATGTGAACGGACCCTGCAGATTTAAACATTTGGAAAAGACTTTTGGTATTAAAGGCAAAGTTCACCTTTGGAACATGTTCCACCCATATTTGGGGTGAAACATGCAACCTGTATCAGCTCCTGCCTCCTCTCTTCCTGATAACCCCCCCCCTCAAAAGTGGATGGGGGTTCTCCCCGCACTAGCTGTCACTTTTAAAAAGTAGCGCAAATCTTCGTGACTCCACCCACACATCTAAATGTATCTAAGTGCATGTACTTTAAATGCTCATTTTCTACAGGAGCCTTATCAGCTCTGCCAGCAAAAACCTGCATTCATGCCCATGTGAATGGACCCTGCAGATTTAGACATTTGAAAAAAACTTTTGGTATTAAAGGCAAAGTTTACCTTTGGAACATGTTCCATGTTCCCCCCATATTTTGGGGCTCCGCCCACACACAGTCTCGTCATTCTTTTCTACAGATTCCTGTGCATGAATGAACTGTAAATACCGTCTGCCACCACGGCACAGGCTTAGGGTCCCTCACAATTGCTTTGTTTTTTGCCTGTAGAAGCAGATCAATGTTATCCTGTGTTTCCATATCCATTAGGACAGTTAGATGCATATTTAAAGCTCATTTAGAGGTGGGAATTAAAAAACTTCTGGTTTGCATTTTTGATTGAAGCTTTCTGGCAGAAAAACGCTAAATAAATAAGCGCATCTGCCACTCCTAAACTTGCCTAAACATGTACACAAAAAACACTCTACGGCAAGGCAACTGGCATTTTTTTTTCAACCCCAGTGTGCATGGAGCCTTATAGTTCCAATGGGTTTGCGGGCACGTTGATCAGCACGCTCGTAGTTCATTCACTCCCTATGGCTCTGAAAATGACAGTCCATACAGAGGTATG